CTCTGGAGACCAGGCTGGCCTTGAACTCACAGAGATCCACCTGCCTCTGCCTCCCGAGTGCTGGGATAAAGGCATGTGCCACCAATGCCCAGCATTTTGCTTTAATTTTTATCTCCATCAAAATGGGCACAGCTCACAAATGCACTTCAGATATACCCAATGAACACCTATCCCCTACTCCTGAAATAATGCCACATTATTATGACAGATGCAGGAGTTTCATTCAGGCAGCACTCCTCCACTTTACTCTTTTCCATCAGGACATAACGTGACCACCCGTACTGGCTTTTGTCTGTATGCCCCATGCTACTAAGATCTGAGCTCTGCCAGTCTGGAGTGATGGTATCATGGTGAAGTGTACCACTATTACATTTTGCTCTATTGATTCCTAACTTTGAAACACAGTTCTTGGAACAAAATGCACACTAAATGAATGAGTGGATGGATGGTTGGACGGACAAATGGAAGGATGGAGAGAAAAAGAATCACACAGATTTACCTATAAAACCTCATAAATGTTCCTTAAAGATGGTTTTGTCAGTAGAGATACTGAGTCCCTTCGTATAATTTACTTATTTCAATACCATAAGAATCCTGGCAGGCTTGCCCCTGCTGAGTATTTATATTTAATTAATACTGACACTACAGGGTACCAATTTTCAATTAATTTATTTTGAAAAAACAAAAAGAACAAAGCTTCTTAACAAATGATTTACCATGTTAATTTAAAGAAACAGAAATCAATACAAACCGATTTAGCTTATCCCAATGCCTACAAAATAAAGAGAGAGAACTATACTTACATATGATGTAATAATCTTTGTTCTTCTTAAATTCTAGACCCCAGATGTTAGGGCTGAATTCTTGAAACTTGATGGTAAATTTCACATCTTGGTGTGGTCTGGAACAGTTGAGCAGGGGGGTATTTTTCTTCTTAATGATGCATCTGTCTGCTTGGTCTTTATCAACCATATACAGTTTATAATATTCATACTGGCCTACAGTTTTAGAGTCAACTTTTGGGCAAATAATATCCAATTTGTCTCCTATCTGTGGGTATAGAACCAGGCCTTGTCCAGGTAGAAATCTAAAACACATAAAAGAAAAGCCACTGAGTTGGTAAAAGTGAGGGTGAAAGTGAACACCCTTAAAGACAAGCATCAAAGAGCCTACACTACAAATCACCCCCCACCATGACATGTCAGT